ATATAATATATATTTTATACTCTACTCTATACTTCTTTTTTGCTATTTTTATTAGGCTATTGATAAATTTTTTTAATTAATAAAATATTAAGAGATTTTAAGGAAATTTTTTTCTTTTTGTACATTTTTTCTGTATTTACTATTTCCTTAAAATTTATATTAATTCAATATAAAAATGTTTCGAAGATTTTAATTATAGTTTTGATATTCATATCAAATGAAACTTAAAAGTTTAATCTTTATAGTATATATAGAGTAAAATTTCTAGGTAATTAAAAATTTAATCTATAGACTGCTTTATCTAAGAACATTAGCATATGTTTACATTTATAAATTAATATAAAAGTATCAGTATTTTTAAAAGAAAATTATGATAAAAATCATGTATTAATAAAGAAATACATAGTTTGTAATAGGATACCAATATACTTACGTTTAGGTTTTGGCGGAATCAGCTTAATTCCTCCCTTCTTCTCGTCGCTTGGTGGGGTTGTTGGTGAATCCAATGATACCTTCATACGTCTCTCCACTAATGGAACGTCTCTCATGGGCGATGGCCTCTTCAAAGGTAATTTCGGAGGTAGAATCTTCTTATCAACAACAGGAGCCACTTTCTTCGATCTAGGTGGTGGTGGTTTTACTTCTTCTTCTAGACCCGTAGATCTGAATTTAGAATTAAACGTCTTCACAGTCTTCGGTCGCGTCCCTGAATCTTGGCTACTTTTTCTATTCTCAATGGAAATAGATATATTCTTTTTTTCGGTTATAATTTGCTTTGTCGCAATAACATCTTTTTTCGAATCTGCCTTTTCTTTATTTTCTTTCGAGCTATCGCGCGATTCGGTTGAAGCCTTCCTTCCACTTGTATCGCCTGATTTCTCATCTTCCATTCGCTTCTTCGGTATCTTACCCATCTTAGAACTCAAAGCTACACCTTGTACCTTTTCCAGAGTTGCCTTGTCCTTTTCAGCTTGATCCTTTTTCTGCTTCTCTTTTTCTTTATCCCGTTCCTTGTCTCGCTCCGATTTATTCCTATTTGAGCTATGCTTGTTGGATGAGCTAGAGTGATGTTTATCCTTATCCTTGGAAGACCTATCTTTGCTAGAGCTGGAGCTTTTAGAACTACTACTACTACTACTACTAGAACCTGAACGGTGACTACTAGATTTATGGGATGTAGAACTGCTACGATGTGCACTGGAACTCGTGCCATGCTTAGAACTTTTAGATGATGACGATAACGAAGAGGAAGATGAGCCATGATGATGGCTGCTACTTTTCTTATCAGAACTACTACTAGATTTTTTATCAGAGTCTTTTTTATGAGAGTCCCTATTTTCTTTATCACTAGATTTACCGCTATCACTACTAATAATGTCTTTAGAGTCTTTAATGTCTTTGCTTTTAGCACCTTCAGTATCCTCATTATCTTTAGAACTAACTAGAGTTTGTTTCACTTCACTAGAAATGTGTCCCGAATCATCTGATTGTACAACATCTACTACATCGTCTCGAACGGTAGTCGCACTGCCATTTTCTTCTGTCTCGTCTAATTCTTCCGAATCTGCCTTAACTTCTTTAACGTTTAAGACTTGTTCACTATCCGTACTCGTACTAGTATTTAGGGCGTTATTTATATTCGCGGCATCTGTTTCTACTTTCGTGAGAACCTGATTGCCATCGCGAATAGTAATCTTATAAACAGGCAGTGGTGCTGTTGAAGATGTCGTTGTCGACGTTTGTACAACGACGAAGGATTGTTTTTTACATTGTTGTTGTGTTACTTGCGGTTGTACTTGCGTTTGCTGAACCTTGCCAACAATTTGTACCACTTGCGGTTGTAGCCTTTCCTGCAGCAGTTGTTGTTGCTTCTCTGAATCTTGTTGATTTATTGGAATACTCACAGTAGATTGAGTAGATTGTTGTTCGAGCTTCAAGTCCTGTACGTGAATAGTTGCAGTTTCAGTAATATTTACAATTTGCGGAGTGTTCGCAGAGTACTGCAACTGCTGTTGTTGTGATGATGGAGTAGTCGCGGTTTGAGCAATAGTAGCATTCGATTGTATTGGAACCGTCATTATTTGAGCCGGCACCGAATTCGGCGCCGCTTCTCCCTTTACAATTTTCAGCCACTGCTCTACAAGTCGACTAGCCAATGTCCGAACACCTTGATGACTACCTTCTTTCGATAAACCCTTGATTAACTTTGGACAATTATTACTCTTCAACCGCTCAATATCTACTGGACAAAGCAGTAGAAGCTCGAGAAGTTCTTGAATGAGAGCCCAATTCTTGGCAAGAATGCCATCAGTAAGCCATGTATGAATGAGATTCCATCCTCCAGCGCTCATAAATCTGTAAAAGAAGAAAGTGTAAAATGTAAAATAATTTATTACTTTGTACTTTGTATCGGATAAATAATATATTATCTTAAATTATTCTATTTTAAATTCTAATTTCTCAATACTATTTAAAATTTCAATATTTTGAAGAATAGATATAGCAAAGGCTGCATACAGCAGGAAAAAGTTTTATAACTGTTGTAAAATTCTTTAATATGATTGGTTTTGCCCTTAATTTCTCATTTGATTTAAATGTATAAATCATATTCAAAAATTTTACAACAGTTGCTTTTTCTGAATGTAGCCAAAGCTGTTAGATTTTAATATTCATGAATACTGTGAGTGGTGGGGGAATGAATCAGATTCAACTATTGCGGAATGGATCCGTAAGCGCTCGCTGCTATTGGTGTATTCTTTTTTTTTAGATCATCTAATACCAGCGAGCACTCACAGATTTGCTCCGCAACAGTTGAATCTGCTGAACGCGATCAAGTTGTTTTGTTGTCCCAGGCTATCTCTTCCATTTCCTCATCACTCGCAGAATTTATATAGTAACATCTAAAATCTGGAAACTCGGTACATAACGATTTCACAAATATTAAAAATAATTCATAGAAGAATAATAATTATTCTTCTATAAAAAGTTTTAACAATAACATATCAGATTTGTATTCTGATAATATAATATAATTATGAAATTCTAAATGACTTTTGATATATTGAAATGTAAGGCCCATATCAGTAAAAACGGCACATAATAAGCACCGTCTAATGGTTCTAAGCCTTTCACAAATTTTTTTTGCATGTTTATAGTATTTCTTTCACACAAACATACGAATTACATATACTTGTGTATCTCAACATGCTGAATAACAATTTTTTTTTTATTTTAATTATAAAACTAATTTAAAATATGGTAAAATATGGTAAAAAATGATATAATGAAGTGTGCAAAATTAAATGTTAATTATACATATAGATTTTATTTAAGTACTTACTGACTAAGCAAGTCCGTATTAGTGGTTTTCAGTATTTGTATGTAAATGCATTTTGAAACAAGCTTCTTAGAAAATTTTGTCATTAAATTAGCTAATCGATGAACTTCTTCTCTACTCTTAATACCTCCTGTTGGGCCCAATAAAACGCTAAGACATTTGAGTAACGATAGAGGATCTATACGTGGCTGAAATACAAATTTAAGAAGAAAAACATTATTCATATATATATATATACATGTATTTATAAAAACAAAAATTGTAAAAAATAAAAGATATACACTTATTTAAATTTTAAGAAATTTTCAGCCATGGAGACATTTTCTGTTATAAAATTTAAATAAAAGTTTTAGATGAAGATTTAAAGTAAACATAAATTTCTTCCTATTTCTTATCCAAAAAATAAATTCTTTTATCACATAAGAAAGGATTAAGAACAATTAAAGACATTATAGACATTTTAGACTATTCTAACAGTCTGATATAAATATTTAAACAATTAGCTTACAGTGCAGTATTAAATTCATGATTTATTATTGTAAAGATATTTCATTTAAAAAAGTAAATATTTAATAATAATACATCGTATATATTATTGCAAAACTGTATTTTGTTTTCCACGATTATCATTCATAGATAATATCAAGTAATAATAATGGAAGGTTTTAAATAAAAATCAAATAATCATTATATATATGTGTATACAACTTCTTTTGTAGATATATATCAATTTATAAAGCATATTTATAAAGTCGAAATAATTAATCATAAAATTAACAATGTAAACCAATCTAAATTTTGAAAGTCTAAATTTCTACGATAGTCAGCCTTTAATATTATTTTGTGATTTTTATAAAAAATAAAGTTATAAAAAAAATATTTTGAATCCTCAATCCTCATAAAGATATTTTAAATATGTTAAATAAAAGTCATTAATAGATTGGCCAGCGGCCAGTAGTTTGCAAATTACAATTATTTATTACAGAACTATGTTTTCGCGATATGATTATGTAAATATTCCAAAAAAATATTAGTGGACAAATTACAAATAAATTTCATTAATAATTAATATTCATATATATATATATCACTTTTATAAAATAATTTTTTGTGTATAGATTTCTGTATTACCTGAGCAAAATATTCGCGAAATATATTTCTCTATATTTGATTTAAATATAAAAATTAAAATAAATTTCATTCAGAAATTATTTGATTCATATG